ATATATATATATATAAACAGTGGCGATGTTAAGATAGCAATGACGACTGCCGTTTTAAAAGCTCCAAATCCCGAACTCGGCAGCAAAGACAGAGTTCGTGAAAATGTGGAATTCCTGATACAAAGTGAGGGGCTAAATTTGAACTACTGCTGCTTAGCAGACAAAAAGAGACAGAAAAGGGGACTGTCTACCCAGCATGCGTTCGTCCCAGCCCGAAAAGAGTTGCTTAACTTTTGGACAGCCATCAAGCAGTCTGGACAGTTGAAGAAGACTGTGAAAAACGGACCGATGAACAAAGCATATCACATTTAATTTTTACAAATTGTAGAGGGCAGTAGTCTGTCCATAATCGAAACAATGAGCGGAGAAAATACGGTGTTCCCCCTTTGAACAAGAACCAACGTCATGGCGATTGGATAGATTGATGGAGCGTAAACCATCCCAAACTGCGAATTGCAGATGAGTTATTAAGGCAATCTGTTTCTTAAAAAGAAACTGTGTTCCACTCCGAGTGAATTTTGCTTCACCCCACATGCCGAAGAAATGGGGCGAAATAAAGGCTCACTTCCGGTGGCTGCCATTGGGATTTGGCCCACTACTGATTGGGGCTAGTGATTTGTCAGCGCGAAAACGCGCAGCTATCGACACCAGACACGAATCCATTCACGCTGTGGGTCGAAATCAAACCAATGGGTCGCAACACCGTTTAGGCACAACCGTGACGTAGATGATAGCACCCTATGGGTCGAGTTATGGCTCGAACAGCGACATGTACAGAACGGGTTTTATATTATACCGGACGTATGTTTCGCGCTACAGAGAACCCATATCAAAATTCAATGCTTAGATATAAGGTCCCTACGTTCCACTAATGTTAATTGTCACTGGTGAGCAATTCTCACTTTGTGTAATGGCGCTGATTTGTGCTAACAAATCTGAAGCACGTAAAGAGGAAAAAACATTTACATCATTTTCGTTTAAAAAGTCCCCCTCTCATACAATTATTCTGGTGAGTCCACACCAAAGGGAGGGAATCGCTGGACTAGATTTTCGCTCTTATGAGGGCTCATCAGCACCGCATGTCCTCCTTGGCCTTCCTGAGGCTTGAACTCTAGACATCTGACATGCGAGACAACTATGTTACCATCACTCCACCAAAGTACGATAGACACGCTTGAATTATCACATTTGAATAGACAAACGCGCTCACGCTTGAGCGATGTGACCACTTTAACCCCCGTTTGTGTCAATTGATTGACCAGGCCTGGTCAGGTAGCGCCGGAAACGCTTGAAACCTGCTGGTGAACTCTTATAAGAGCGAAATCGTGTCCAATACTCCACTTTTTGGTGCAGGCTCATCAGAATAATTGGGCTAGGACATCAGAGCCGTTCAAATGGGAGCGACGTGAACGTGAGCTCTACAAACCCCGCAACCACCGACAACTAAAACGAACGCACACAGGACCCTTCATTCAAGCGGTTAATATCATGCCGTTAGATATTAGAAGGAAATTAGAAAGATGGTAACAGCGACAAACGGCGCGAACCCGAATGTGGGAAAACAACGAGCATACAAAGAGAAAGTTAGGAGTGCTGATGCGGTCAGAATAAGGCTACGTCTATTCGCAAAATATACCCATTTGCACGCCAATTTGGTTTCAACGAGAGACACAGCTGAATCTGCCGCTAAAAATGTGCTACACAAGAGCCACCTAACAATTCAGTTGGTACAATATTCGAGGTGCCACAGTACAGTTCTTCGAGGGAACTCTATTCTGGTTATCGAAGTCTTCAGCGACCTTATGAATAGTGTTCCTTTATGGTTATATCCACGACTGGAATAGATGGACTGAAGTGGGAGTGGAAGCAGAGGATGTGAGCAAGTTTAGTCCAACCGAAGCATAGCTTCACAGACGGCTGAAAACATGTTCGTGTGACAGCGTTAGCCGTACAGTAGGACCTACTCATAAGAAACATCTAGTCATTCTTGCCGTGCCAAATACATAGTCTCGTGTGACCTCCATTCATTGACTTCTGGCTTGTGATCTACATTTTAGTTCCTGTATCAACTTCCTTCGTTCGGTTTCACAGTAGCAATGTGTGTGTACAGCATTTGACAGGCGAACAGATCAAACACCGGTTCCCCATCGTTTGCTCCCCTGCACGGATAGCTCCCATATACTTGACAGAACGAAGTCACGCGGGCTCACGTAATTTTCCCTCCAACATACTTCAACGCATCAAGCTGGCAGTTGAGCACCTGGGATGCAGCATAATGATTGCAAGACATCTTGCTCCACTCAGTTCTCAAAGATCCTGCCACGAAATTGAGTGGTGTTGATTGAGTGGAACAGCGTGCTTAGTGCAGACAATAGAGTTATAAACTCAAAACATCTGCCTTCTTCGATAATAAGTCACCACATTTTCGGTGACGCTTATTTTCACCGCATGCTTTGTGTTGCAGGCTACCGAAAGGATAATAAACTTTAACAGCTCGAAAGTTTTATCGTCAGCCCACTGAGAGCAAGTCTAGTGGGTTGCAGTTGTTAAACAGAACGAAGGCAACCTTGTCCGCCGATACAGTGAAATGTTTTGCGTTAAGCGTTTCGCAGCCGGTTACTGTTCTACCGGATCACGTTACAACAGATGGGTAGAAGTTGTCGAATTCCAAGTCACGAACAACTTGCATCGGGCTAGAAGTGAACGGAAACAGCTGTCTGAGGCAGGAAAACATCGAGTTAACAAAAACGTGAGGGGCGAATGAGAAAACGGAAGTATCCTCACCATAGCAACAACAGCGTCAGAAATAGAGACGTCTAGTGGGGGTTGAGATGAGAATTCCAAATACATATGTGTAAACGTGATGGAGAGCGAGGATTCCCACTAGCTCAGTCCGTATGATACGTTTGCGCTAAACGGGAGGTTCGAGTGTGTTTTGGTATACTAGGTGTGCTCGGAATTAGTGTTTCGATGAAATACTAGTCGGATTACGGGAAACCCGTGAACCTAATTAGTCGGGAGAACACAACAATCCTACGAGATAATTTTGACAGCACACATGTTTTCCGTTGTGGTCCACCCTCGAGGAATACTGAGCCGTGAGCAGGTGTTTCCTGGCTTTATTCCAATCAGGAAGATCTCACAAGTGAGTAGCTCATGATTAGTGAAAACTAACGCAAGACATAAGTGGTGCCAGAAAGGCTGCATCATCAGGTTTTCTTTCATATTTGCCTACAGTATCCTTAGTTTGAAAAAGTAACAGTTGTCACACCCATTGAAGCTCACAGACCTTCCGAGTGCAGGAATATTCAACCACGGAATGACTACGCTTCTGGTGTTTTGCGGCAATCTTATGACGGACATCCTTCCAACAAGCAGTATTGAGTAAGAAACAGTCTACGACTCGAAGAATCAGCTGGTTATGGATACCACAGTCTCCCTCGTCGATGAGTTAGGGGGGTTCGGTAGATAGCAACGTATTGGAGGCTGAAACAACTGATGCTTAGCTACATTGTTGGGATGGGAACTAAGCAGTATAGGTAATATCTTGGATACATGAGCGCCATTAATGGCGTGAATGGAGCATGTCTGATGACATTTCTAACCATTGATGTGTCCCGTTTTGGGCTCCCAATCTAAAGAGACGGCAGTGACCAATAATGGTAATTACTTTCATACTTGGCTACCAAGTCATTGCCTGGCCTCTCCAAGCTCGTTTCTGCCTTTCACGTGGTTTTGAGAAGAGTCTTTCAATGAAGTCGGTCTACTGGCTTAGGGAGCACGTGACCAAGCCAGCACATAATGTGGAATGTGATCAGTCCATCCATGTTGGGCGATTCAACTTTGCCGAAAGCCATTCGATGTACTTCAGCATTATTGAACCAGCATTCCCACAATAATCGGACAATGCTCTGAAGACATCGATGATCAAACACTAAAAGTCTTTTGACGTCCTCGGTGCGCAGCGGCCAGGTTTCTCACCTGCATAATAATACGGAGCTCACCGCTGCATTGTAAACTCGACGCTTGACGGATAAGCTGATGTCACGGCCACGCCACATGTGATGCACGTTCACGAAATCTGCACTGGCCTTCCCAATCCAGTTGAAAATATCATCTTTCGCGAGACCACCAGGACTGATTCAGCTATCCAGATAGACAAACTTGTCTACTACCTCAATCGGTTCATCCGTAAGCGTGAGGTTAGTGTTGGAGACAAACCAGTCTTGCAGCGGCCCTTTAACCTTTTCGGGTGTGAAGCGCACATCAAACCGTGATGCAGGATCACCTAGATTATTTAGTACTATTTGCAATACGACGGCGTCAGATCCGAGAAGAGCTATGTCGTCTGTGTTCTCAAAATCTGTGAGCGAATGCCATGGGGGCATTTCGATACACAGGCATTAGAGGCTAGTAGTGAGTCTTCCACAGTCCTATCAGCGACGAAATTGAAGAGGAAAGATGAAGCAGGACAGGCTTGCCTGACGCCGCTTGGTGTAGCGAACTCAGACGAGGGCTTCCTATAGACCCTCACTTGTCCACGGGAATTAGCGTACAGCATCTTAAAAAGGGTCTAAAATTTGCGGGACACAGCTTTGCTCCACAGATACTATCAGTGCCTGACGGTTCATGGAGTCATAAAAGACTCATTGTCGGTTGCTGCAAGCAGTCACTGTTTCGGAATCCGTCCGAGGATGACAATGTGAGTGATGCATTCGTTCAGGACGGAACCGAGCATGGTTTTCATGGATCTGCCTCTCTCTGTGTTCAGGCAACATCCGAAGTATAAGACCAGACATGAGATGACATATCATCCGGAAAATTATCGACATTCCAACACTGGTCCCGAGCTGCATTTAGAAGGAAGCTTAATCAAATGAAGTTCTTACCCTGTGACTAAATTCAAACGGGAACATGGTATGAATAGAACTGATGCCAACCGCACGTCTTCTGTAAGAATCCCAGACGGAAACTCAGTTAGATGACACGGAACATTCTTCAGTTTCCGCAGAAATCGCCGCAACAACAAGATCACAAACCGTTTCACGACTCATGGTGTGTTGGATTCAGGATACTTGAGAGTGATCAGAGTGAACATAAATATAAAGATAACTGCAAGGGATATTACCAAGAACTATACAACTAGCAAAATGTGTCGGGAATATGTGTAACTATCTTGAAGAACTGGATTTCATTTTGGCCGGATACAAACATTTACCTTAAAGTGACGTGTTCAGAGATTGAGGAAGCACAGATGAAATGACGTGATTGGGGGCACACAGCATTCGATAAAGGTCTTGGCAGCGGTGTCAAGGTGGTGGTGGTGTCACGTGAACATAATTGCCTAAGAGAAACTAGACGCCATCACGTTGGCACAAACGATGGAAGTACAAAGAAGGCAACAGAATGCCAGAACTTTTTTACTGTTGAGTAACCATGGTTTGATGCGTTGGGCGCGAATAGGAGAGCTGTTTTCCAACCTCAACTAAAAAGACCTGAATCCGGCACAACCAAGGGGGTTTAACCAAAATATAAAGTTAGTTCGAAGGAAGCGAATTCTTTCGAACATTTTGTGTCAGCAGGTTTCACTTAGCGAGTGAGCAAGTCGATTCTGGATGGCTCGAGGGTTTGTATTGGAGATCACGATCATAACTCGTTTTAAACTCATTACAATACGCCTTCGTTTCTTTCCTGCTGGCAGACAGCCTCTTTTTTGCAATACGCTTTTTGGTCTGAAACCCAACTTGGGTGGTCATTGAAAATTTTTAATACAGCCATATAATAGCAGACCCTCGTGAAAAATTATCTCGACTTAAGCTAGGTGAAATGGCAACCGCATTTTCGTAACGGCGTGGACAAGAGACGACGCACTAGATGGCGTTTTTCATGGGAGAACCACCAAGGATACATAGAACATTTTAAACGTCTATAACAAGCAAAAGAGACGTACATCGGGTCGTATTTATGATGTAGGTTATTAACACATTACGGAATTTCGGATGAGGCACTGGAAACGGGCATCCAGTGGATACCGAAACACGGCTGGCTGTTGGATTCACACTTTCAACCAATCAAAGCTCAACTTGATACTAGACTGGCTAGCGGTTCGAATTTCTCACCAATCGCGTGCGGGTCAGGCCTTTTGGCATTTGCATCGCACAACTGTGAGCGGTAAGCAATGGGATCCCGTCTAACATAAAAACGGACAAGTCCAAAGCACTCTCGGTGGATGAAATTGAGTGACTTCTGGTCATTTGGTAACAAATCATACTAGAGAGTAAGCCCAGAAGCTAGGAGAAAATTCTTTTGAGTAACTGGCGCAAAGGGGTGAAAAATGAAGTGTGCGCGGCAAAATTATGGGGCCACCCCCTGATGCCTTCTGGTCGCTGGTACTTACTGGCCTTTCCACTCCGAAACCCTCGAGAATCATCTGTTAAACTTTTAAGTGTGACGCTTCACCAATTCTGCTTCAGGACAGCCACCACACTATTTTTGAGGTAAGGATGGGCTCAAGAGTAAAACTTGGCCAAACAAAAGCCATCATAAGATGGAACAAAATCCAGTCCTGAGTGATATGTGGCCCGAAACACTGTGCTGTTCGATGGACGAAGTATGACCGGTGAGTACTGTGAGATCTGTCAGGCACTACTGGTTAGGAGTGTCAGCTTGGTTTCCGAAATCAGCAAATTGACATCATGGAATAATTAATGAGGATGTGATGTATATAACCAGAGATTGGAATACTTAATCCTGTCACAAGTTGTCATGAACAAACGGGAAAGGAGCAACCTAATGCTTGAGGCCTCACACTATCGAGAGCTGGCTTCAAATGAGGGAGTTTGACTGGCCAACTTGCAGTCTTGAGTTCCATCTGAATGAAATTCCGCAAAGTTCACGAAGACGCAAACATTGGTAACTCCAAAACTGATTCCTCTGCTATCCTGAGGCAAAAGTGGTGAAGCATCACACTGTTGAATGATTGGTGAAGTGATCAACGAAGGTTTTGAGGTGGAAAAGTTAGAAAGTATAACCGAAGCCTCTCCCTCGATGAGGCATTGACAGGGTGCAGTTTAATGCCTCCGTCGCGCCCACTTCTCACTATTGCTTTTTTTACACCACTTGATCAACATAACACTCCAGTAAATTCTGGGCTTGTCATTTGGTAATTGGAAATCAGTCAATTCGATTTGCCACAAATGGACTAACGATGAAAAACATGACACATCCCATAGGTTGTTTCAGGCTATACCTGGGCCAAATATTTCAGACAAAACACAAATTTCACAGTCTGTAGCATAATTTCAAGATGTTTGACTTCCTCCGGCATGACTAAAATTTAATTATGTCAGCGCGTAGATCATGCGTCCGAATCGGTCGCTCCTTTGATGGAAAACCACCCCCATCGATAGACCATTTTGGTACATCCGAACGTATTTTCACCAAGAAGATTAATGTGTTGGTCAGATGTCGCAAAGAAACGTCGAAAAACACCGGACGGATAATGTCAGACGTGAAAACAAGTGGAAGTAAGTTGCCCAGCGCGGATTTGAGCCAGAATGACCGGTGAAACATGACAGAGTTCAAACCCAAAGCTTTGCCCTGCGTCTCACAGGACGGATAGAAGATAGTGAAAACTCAATGATGAGCCTCGACACACAAGAGAAGCATTGAAACTTTCTTATCACTTATCCTAGATCGGGTATCTCTGTCCAAAGAGGACGGAGAGGAAAATTAGACTGCCCGTTAGCTCGGGAGTAAAAGATCATGAGGAAAGCAGAAGTTAACTTACCAGACCGATTAGGACGAGAAACGATGCGAACAAAGCGATGGTAAACAAAGGTCCCACCGTGGAAATCTAAAAATAATGAGGTATAGGAACAACGAATTGCAAATGGTCCCATGTTGTGTTCAGACACCGTACCTTTGAATTAAACAATCTGATGGAAGGCTGATGGATTTCCTTCTCTAAATACTGTCATCTACGACTGAGATGAGGGACATCGGCTATTTTTCAGTCAGTCAGGATGAGGAAGTTGTGTTATGCTCTATGCAAGTATTGACATAGTCCAACACACTACTAGTGCACAGTCAGATTGCTTGATCGTAGAAGACTTGATAATTACAAACCGCAGGATCGGAGTTTAACCGGTTTCTATAGAACAAAAGCGGTTGAGTCCCGGAAAACAGCAATCGGAGTTATTAAAAGTGCTAAGATATACAGAGAGATTGTCACAGTATGAAATGGAACTACCACCTTAGTGAATACGTTAGCACCCTACCGCAAGTGGCGAGGTCAATTAAGTGGCCGCCTAAAAACGGGATCAATACTGTCAAAGAGGATACGCGACCATTTTATGGTGTACATCAATGGGACCATTGTAAGAATCTGCTATTTTAGTCCATCAAGCTAATTCATCTCTCCGTAGGAGACCACCGCAATAATCAGCAAGCATTAGCCATTTCCTCATCGAACAAGATCACCTAGACTCTAAGAATGACCACCATACAGTTGTCCTCCTATGAGAGAACGACATCTTCGAAAAGACCGCTTTTAGGTGGTCCTTGATGAGACCCCTTTGAGATCTCTCTCAGAAAGGATCACTTTTAATCGATCCCTTGAAACAGTTCCTGTGGATGGCGGTAGTGTAGTATAACAACCAAACAACACAAAAGTTCGAGGCCAGTAGGTGCGAATATTCTTCGCTTAGACGGACTAACGAAAATATAGGAACAGGGTTGCTCGCTGCGACCTACGCCCAATGTGGGCGAATCACTGTATTACGAATTGAACGCTGTCCGAATAAATTCGAACCTAAGTGGTCTTCATGACTTTGTCTGGAATGTACGGTCAATCTTAGACTAGTGTGCCATTGTCAGGAACAAATGGTCGCACATGTAGTTTTATTTGACAGTCGACAGTGTATCGGTGGAAACAATGGGTTACAAACGACTACTTTTGCGATGTGCTTTTATCACAATCTTATCCAATCCAAGAGAAGCAAGGAATTCATTTCACTCGGTCCGCACTTAGCCGACAATCTTGAGGAGTGAAACTGAAACTAACATCTAAAAGTTTACCCGTGCTGTTTCGAGTTTCCTACTAGCTACTGTTGTCAAGTCACGGAGAACAAAATAGCGACTTTCATGATATAGTGGTAACCCGGGGACTGGGCAGAGTAATTTCAGAGATGCGAGTGAGTGGACACAAGTTCAACAGTTTCGCGGACAAACTGCAGTGCCCACCTCAACGAACGTCTTGGAATTTAAAATTTGAAGTCGTTCATTCTGAAAACCTATCATTTGCTGATAAATTTTCGGAGCCAATAGGCCCAAAACTGCTAACTTGACATGGTTGTCGGACTAGAGAGCTCTACTGATCAGACAGGTTATGTCAGCTGAAACTCCGTTCGCCGGGGTTCAACCATGCTGAGTATGGCAAAAGGGAATCTGGATACCAGATAAACAAGCACATCAAATAAAGAACAATCGCCGCTTACCTCCTGACAAAGATGGGTGAATACACTGGGTGAATTGATAGATTCGCTGTAAAGGCTGGTGTCGATTGGTCGTCGATAGAGTCCTGAAGGAAGCAAGGTGATGGGGAAGCCATTAGATAATGTTTACTGAGAAAAATTTTTCGACCTGATATTATCCAAAATGAAGCAGTGGGAATTCGCGCGCTATACGAACAGCAAAAACACTGATCACAAGGAATATTTGGATAGTCTTGAATAAGAAGTAAGTACTAAAAGCAATGGCAAAAAATATGGGTTCAATCCTTTGGTCAAACAGGAACTTCAAAGTTGCAGTAGTATTTCGAGCAAATGAACCGGATTCAACGAAGAACACTTGCACTACAAATGGTATGCTTCATTAGTAGTCTTTGACCAAGCAGTTCGCAATGGGTTTGGGAGAATGAATACACCGACGAGTTGGGGCATGAAGTGTGGGTTGGAGTTGGCCAGGAATACCATGAACAGTCAACTAAAGAAGCAAGCATATACAGACCAAGTCAACGTGATTATGTAGGAAGCAAGAAGCCAGGAATAGGAAGACTGAGAGTGGGCAAACTGTCAACCGCGTTATTCGTGGTGAGGAAAAATGGAGAGCCACACGGCTGGTCGCCCAGTCACAGTCCTTTAGTAAGAGGCGATGGGCTGTCGGCGACGTATAACAAACGAAAAAGGATGGATGCACAATGCTATCGGGCGTTCCAGTACCGGTCAGCGATGGACTGAAAAGTTTTTCACTTTCAGCCGAAGTCAACTTTTGAATGCAATTGCCTCCACAACACTTGAATGCGTCCGTAAGAAATCTCACGAGTTTCCTTTCTTGCTTGTTCCAAAGTTGACAACAGAACCATTTATGTATGCTGTTAAGGTGCGACAATCAATAACTAAAACTTCTGCTGTCAACCAGTGGTGATTAGCAGTGTCAGTTCCAAGCCAGTACCGAATTCCGCATTAGACTGATATGGCAACAGCGCTACATTCATTACGAGTACCCTTTTTAAAAATGGGCACTATTATTGATTCACCTCAGTTGCCTGGGGCGTCCTTTCTCCCAGATAGACCCTAATGGGCTTGACAATCACTGGCTGATAAATTCATGGCACTCCTTGAAGAGAACAGAACAGGCGAAAGCCCGTCAGTTCCAGGAACACGATGACGCATAAATAGAGAAATACACTCGGACACTTCTGAGGCTTAGGGGGGATCCGCGCTCACAGTCCAGCTTCCTGTTGAAGGCTAGCAGTCCGGATTGGAAGTAGCGGGTGGCCAAATAAATCGCTGTAGGAAGTATTATGCCTCTGTCGCAGGGCCTCCAGCAAATACAGTGTCCTATCCGGCTTTGAGTAACACTGTAAATATCTGTTCCCAGGGTCCAACAGAGGTCCAACAAAGGACAGTCCGGAAGATGTTCCACGAGACGGTTCTGAAAGTTTCGTTTGAATTCTGCATCTATCAACTTTTCAATGGCTAAGAGAGTTGTGCGCGTTTTGCGCAATAAAAGTAGCATCGCATAAGCGCATTGTCGGAGTCCACGCTTTTAAACCAGGAGGAATGAAGGCGATCGACCCTCACCACTAGTAACTGACGGCGATGTGCTCTATTTGGATTCTGGACTGGTTCGTTGGTGGGCACCTAGCTGTCAAGAAACCAGGAGGAAGGCGATCGACCCTCACCACTAGTAACTGACGGCGATGTGCTCTATTTGGATTCTGGACTGGTTCGTTGGTGGGCACCTAGCTGTCAAGTGATTTTTGCTGTTCAGAAAATCGTTACTGCAGAGGAGCAGTTTTTGATCGGTACATATCTGAAGTAGATAATTTCTGGTGTCCGTGCCTTTTTAGCCAAACCAAGATGACCACCCAGTTGGGTTACAGCAGCTCTTAGACTACCTACATGGGTGTTCATGTCAGCATCAACCACAACGATGTCCGAGCTGCCTACCCGTTGTAAAAGAGTACATAGAGAGCAGTAGAAACTGTATTCGGCAGGTTCAGAGCTATGGTCCATTGGTGGCGTAAGCAGACACAATAAACAGGTTGGGATGGACCTCACTTTCTCAAGATTCTCTCTTAGTAGTTCAGCTGTAGCGCCCTTTCATGCCACCAGAAGAAAGTATTAGGGTTGGGATATTGCCAGCTTGCTAAAGCCCAGACGGGTGAGGCAACTATCAACGGTTATCCAATCAAATAGAGACGCAGTCGGTCGGTCGCTCAATACAATACCCACCGCAACATATCTGCGTCACCAGAGGCGCGCATCCGGAACCTAAAAGAGAGTGGGGGAAGTCAGTCCAATCGCATTGCTTGTGTTCTATATCCCAGTTTCTAACACAGCATATATCAATGCGAAGGGAATGCAGCGTACAAGCAACTTCCATCTGCAATGCTGCTTGCTTTAGTGTGCGAACACTAAAAGCAACTAAGTAAACTAGCTTTTGAGGTTTGAAAAGAGTCTTCGAAGTGTTTAGGGTTGTTACGGAGGTCGGACGTACAGAAGATGCAGCCGAGTGTGCTGCACATAAGCCTGACAACAAGGTAGCGGTGTTTTGCGGGAAACGCAAGTATATTACCAGTTTTACAGTACAAGTCATCACAAATGTTCCAACCACTAAACCTAGAGGGCCAAACGACTTTATTAGCCAAAACTCATACCATTGACCAATCTGGTGTGAGACTCTGTGAGTGTCGTGTGAATACCAACCAGGGTCACGGAGGTACACCACGGAAGGTCCATTCTCTTGGTGACAGGGTGCGGCTACTATGAGTTGCTCGTTCGATTCTGACATCATGCTCATAGCTAAGCAAGTAATTTGGATCCTCCAGATAGAATTTTTATTATCAAAGGACATCCTATTCTTAATGTGCTGTATCAATATCCTATTCTTCTATTCTTAGTTTTATGGAATACCGCCTATCTGCCTGACTGTACTTGACTTTGTACACAGAGAAAAATATTCATCTTTTTCGTGTCTGTTCAAATGCATGGTATCCTGAAAAATTAGGCTAACAGATCTTACATACAAATCGCAACGGATGAACATCTCCGAATACGTGTTAACCGGGCGTCAAACAGATTTTGGAAACGCCGCACAGTTTTCTTCGGAAAATACCCAAAGACTGGGTCGGAAATTTGATTGCCCTTATCCTGATTGGTCGCGATCCATCTGTGGTTTATTTTTGCATCCCCTAGGCATACAACTGTCTTCTACCCATAACCTACATATCTTCCATCAGTTTGTATCAAGACCAGAAGTGATCGACGATAGCCAAATACGATGAAGAATACCGTAGTTGCGTCCCTAGAATATCACTGTTCGAGCTTGTGAAAATCGCGCATGTCGATCGCCATTCGGAATCCACAACAAGTGGGATCGATGAACTGGTCTTCATAACGTTTCGCAAAGTCTCAGAAACCAACATGGCAACTGAGTGAGTTAAAATGTCCTGTACTGAATGGAAGTGGGAAAAATCCAGAAAAAACGAGTAGCCCTAATGAAACTTGAGGATCAATCGTGCCGCGAGAAAAGTGCACCACTGTTCTGTTCACCAAGAACAACATTGATCATTCTGGTTGAAGAACAATGAAACTTGCGTGTGGCTGAATGAGGAAAATCGATACCTGCAATCAAAGTTTCCTATTCCCCAGTGTTTTAGGAAGTGTGAAATTGCAGAAAAATGACTGCGACAAAACTGTCCAAAACAATCGATATATACAAAAAGCAACCATATAAACAGTTTGTTCTGGTCATTTACTATTCCGTCTACGCATGTCTGAATCATGACACAGTGACAACAAGTGCAATAAACAAACAGCAGGGTAGCCAAGAAAAACTTTCGAAATCATTTAAGATCGCAACATACTGAACCAGACAGAACAAATGCCATTGAATCATCGCTCTGTAATGTGTTTGATTGTGTCGGTTTGGTGACAGCACACGAATAGAATACCTTCCCGAGATCAGCCGAACTCGGTGCTCCTCCTTCCACGATAAATCACTCATTCGCCAGGAAACAGATACACACTTGATTGCCAAAGTAAAGAAGGAGTAAACAAAATTTGCTCACTGAGAACGGTGAACTGGGTTAAAACGAAAAGTTAAACAGAGGTGAAATGAACAATTGGGAAATACCTACGGGACAAGTGTACAAGGGAGGGAAGGATGCATGAGTCGAGTAACAGTCGAACTAGGTCGTACGCCAGCGCAGGTTCAAAAAGGGTGCAAATTGCTTTCGAACACAGTAATAAATAATGCTCATTCAGCTTCGCACCCTTTCGGTGCCTAGCTGCCATGCAACCCGAAGGAAGCATGAGGTTGCTCAAGCCTGGACAGGACCGGTCGGGATGCGGGAATCGGGTTCGAAACACAGAACTTACGGTCAGTAAGTTCGCGCATCAAACACTGATTTACATACGGAACATTTGAACACAAAGTTTTGTTACTTAATCGGATTCAGATACCCTCTGCGATCGATGACGATCTGGATTGTACCGTTCATAGCTGGGTAAGAGAGCGTTCTTGCTCTGTGAAACGGGCAGTTTTAGCTAGTAGGCGCGGGGGATAGTTATTTGCCATCTATTCAGGGTAGGTGCATTGTATACTGTCTGGCAAGCGATAAACAGCGATAGCATAGCAGTATGCACAAAATCTGGTGGCATTTTGCCTCGTAAATAGGTCTCGATGACAGGGTTGGAACTGAAACCCTAGCACTGACTACAGTACAATGTTTTACTTTCCTAGTGACCAGCTCTGAGATTAAGTCGACCTCCGACGGGAGATTTTCTTGGAAACGCGTTACTCAGCTCCCTATCATGTACGAATCATTCACGATATTCGATCCCAAAAAGACGTCTGAAAATTTATGGATCCTCTTGTATGCGGTTGCGGGAGCACATCCTTATCGCTTTCTCCTCTGATTTAACACTGCTCTTAATGTAGCGGTATGAGAGCATCAAGATGAATATGTTGACTGGTCCAAGTTTGTTGTCCCGTGAAATTCAAGCAGTACGTTCCACAGCACAGTTGAATGCCATACTTGTACGTTCAAGAGAAAATATCAGTAAAAATTTA